GACCTCCCTCACTCTCTTCCTCCCCCTGTGGACCAGCGCAAAAAGCTGTGTCTATTTTCATGCATTCATTCGTGAATAACGACAGAAGGATGTAATGACCCTTAGGCTCAATTCTTGCACCGTCAGGGGTCAGAGGAGAGAACAAGCAAAAGTGATCCTAAACTGAGTCTTGAAAAGTGTGTGGGTGTCCCAGGCTCCCGCGAGGCCCTTTTGGCCGCTGCGTGACGCACTGAGGAGCCCTGTCTCCCTCTCCCCGCCCCCCCACCGACCTCCTCTCCCTGCAGCCTAGGCAGTGTGTTTCCGCTCGTAGCCGAGGGCCAGCGCTCCGCCAAGGCTCAGGCCATGTACCAACTCTTCGGGCTGCTTGTCACACTGACGTTTGCCTCTGTGGGCGGGGCGCTTGGAGGTGAGTGACCTTGGCTGGGGGTGGGGGGTGTGGTTGCAGAATTCAAGGGTAACCTTCCCCAGAAGTGGGTACTTGCTCCCTCCTGGGGCTAAGAGAAGATGGGGAGTGGGCCAGGGGCAGGGTGGGGTCCCTCTCCCGTTTTCTGGCTTCCCTGTACTGCTTACTCTGCCCACCAGAGGGCAGCCCGACCTCAGGCTGAGGCCCTGAAGGGGAAGCTGAGCAGTCTTTCCCGGGCAGGGGCAGGTCCAGGAGCAGAGGCAGGGGCAGGGAGGGGCCGGAACACCAAACCTCCACAGAGACCAACTGCCCGCTGATGCCCATCAGACAGTCCTCCCTGATGTCTGGCTTTACTCCTTCTGATTCAGTATCATCTTGAGATTTTCATTCTCGAACTGGTTCGATTCCGTCCCCTCATTTACTTACTTATTTGCTCAATAAATTCGTGCAGCACCCCTCCCGGACAGGGGGCCCCAGGAAGCTCAGGAGCTGTGTTCGGGACAGAATCACGATCTGGTCCATTGCCAACTGTCCGAACGAGTGAGGTGCCCAGGACTTCTCTGAGGCTCGCTGCCTTCACTGTACCGTGAGGGTCATGCCCAGCAGGGCTGCTTTGGTGACGAGCGCCCGTGGGGGCCTGGCTACAGTAGGGGCTCCCCAAATACAGCTGCAGTTCATCTGGGACAGGCGTGTCAGGCCGCTCAGCCCCTCCGTGCCCTCGGGCCTGGGGTGGCCACCTCCCCCACAGGAGTGCCAGGAGCCCCACCCACCCTCCCCTCCCACCACCAGGGCTCCTGCTGAGGCTGCCCTTCCTGGACCCCCCTCCAGACTCCCAGTGCTACGAGGACCAGATTTACTGGGAGGTGAGCGTGTCCCCAGCCCCTTGGACCGATGGCCATCTCATCCCCCAAAGCTCCCACCCTGCCGCACCTCCTATGATCCCACCTGCCTCTTTCCTTCTTGGCTGGCTCTGCTCTGCTGGGGGACACCCTCCCCCCAGCTCCAGTCTCCAGCCCCCTGGAGCTTCCCCTTCACCTGCACCCCCCCC